AAACGCCTTTTTACCAAGATCTGTTCTGACCGCCTGCCACAACGTGAATCTAGAGCAGCATTCTTTTGCGGTGCGCGAATGAGTTTCATTGCCAGCCATGCCGGTCTTTGGTTGGTTCTTGTATGTTCTTGTCTTGTATTTGCGGCAGCTGGTCTTTGCTATTGTGCTGTTGTGCTTGTGGTGGGAGTTGTTGTAGCCAAATGGCTCCATGATGACTACACATATTTGCTACTTTAGAGCCTCTGGCGATGAAAAAGCCTTTTTACCAAGATCTGTTCTGACGGCCTGCCACAACGTGAATCTAGGGCAGCATTCTTTTGCGGTTCGCGAATGAGTTTCATTGCCAGCCATGCTGGTCTTTGGTTGGTTCTTGTATGCTCTTGTCTTGTATTTGCGGCAGCTGGCCTATTGTGCTGTTGTGCTTGTGGTGGGAGTTGTGGTAACCAAATGGCTCCATGATGACTGCACATATTTGCTACTTTAGAGCCTCTGGCGATGAAAAAGCCTTTTTACCAAGATCTGTTCTGACGGCCTGCACAACGTGAATCTAGAGCAGCATTCTTTTGTGGTGCGCACATGAGTTGCCTTTCAAGCCATGACATTGCCGGTTATTGGTTAGCTTTTGTCTTATATTTGCGGCAGCTGGCCTTTGCTATTGTGTTGTTGTGCTTGTGGTGGGAGTTGTGATATACAAAAGGCTCCATGATGACGGCATATATTTGCTACTTTAGAGCCTTTGGCGATGAAACAGCCTTTTTACCAAGATCTGTTCTGATAGCCCACGTCCAACTCCAGAGCAGTGCTTTTTCATATTTTGTCAATACGTTGTTTTGTGCGTGATTGGGCTTTTATATTCTTGGATTGTCTTGTGCTTGGAGTTTGTCTCTTTTGCCTTGCTTTGTTTTGGAGTCGTGGGCGTGACCAACGATGCTTTGTGATGATCGCATATATATATATATATATTTGCTACTCGACTCTAGAGCCTTTGGCGGTGAAGATCTGCCCCCTAGGGATCGACATACTTTCTAGGTACTTGGAGCCTCCAAGCCAGAAATATGGAGGCAGCCCCTCAGCAGAAAAGAGGGGAAGCTGTTGATCCATAGGGTGGAAGCTGTCAGCTGGTAGCCGGGATCCATTGAGGAAGTTTCGGTTTTGCTGGGATCTCGGTTCGTGGCTGGATGAAGGGAGACACCTTTGTAGCTGGGATTGCCCCGCTCTGTTTCGCCAGACGTCCCAGGCCTGTGCAGTGTGGGGAAGACGAGCGATTAGTGCAGCGATTAGCAACAGAGGGATGGCTGGATGATTTGGGTCTAGCATGGTATAGCCCATGCCGCTCACATGAACCAAATAAATCAGGTGCGGTGTGCGCAAGGTGCGGGCAGCAGCCCCCTTCTGGCTGCTTCTTGCGGACCGTGGTGAATGCACTCCGTCGACCGCCCTCGCAGGAGAGGCGAAGACTTTGAAGGCGGCGTCTCCCGTCAGGGCACCCCGGTGGACTCCGTGAGGACTCGGTGGGACCCGGTGAGGAGGTCCGGTTTGGTCGCTTGTAGATTCGCATTTTGGTCCATGATCTCAGGTGTTTGCCTCTTAGGGATCTAAATTAAATGATAAGTATAGCACATTTGCAAGTACCTCTGCACTATTGCACTATGCCCCTCTTGGACCAACCCTTTGGAAGTGTTTGGCAGATGATTGAGTGATCGACAGTGGAGCAATCCACGGTCGCCGACCGCGGTCGCCGACCTCGTTCCTCTCGGCATTTCCTCAGGGCCGCCGTGCCAGCAGCCGACCCCAGAGCACCCCTGAGCCGCTGGGCCAGCGAAGTGGTTGCATATGGAGACTAAGAATACAGCTCCTATATAGTAGCTTCTTGCTCCTAGTAGTAAGGCCAGGAGCCCCTAGTAGCGTCCTTGTTCCTAGTAGCGATGCCAGGAGCCCCTAGTAGCGAACATTGTTCCTAGGAAGGAGGGATAGATAGGATCCTGGAGGAGGCAGAATTCCATTCTGTTCAAACCTGCGGACGGGGGACCCTGTCTTGGAACAGCACCATCGATGGTCGTAGTATGTCGCAGCTTTGCTTTCCTTCAAGTATTTGTACAACATCAGTGCTGCCCTCGGATTCTGCCCTAGCATTTTCAGAGGCCCCGGGCGCAGCAGAGTGTTGATGCTGCTGAATTAGTTAGAGGATGTTAGAGGCACAGAACCAGCTACCCATAGATAGATGCAGCGCCATCCATTTGCACCCACTCCGGTACTTTTCAACCTGGTCGCACCCGGTCGCCTTGCGACACAGCCTTTGCGACGAGCGACAAGCCCGGCTCAGACCGGATCGGACGAGGTCACCACCTGTGACCGAAGCACCTGCCAGTTCCACCCTGAGTCATGTGGTCGATGGTTTGTGTTTTTCGGGTCTGGTGTTTTGACAGGACGCAGGACTGGAAATGGCTTCAAGTCAATTCCATGCAGAGAAAAGGTTCAACAAACGCGTGCACTTGGCAATTGATGTCTCTATTTGGCACTTGGCGGATTTGGGCCTCTTTCAAACACTGCCGGTGCGTGTGACTCAGCCGAGGTCCGGATGCCGAGCCGCTTGGTCTGCAGAACCCGTCGGCCCGAAAGGACGCAGGGCCGTCGGCCGTCAACGCGAAAGGGGAAACAGATGAAAACACCGGGTGACGCGGTGTAGTGAAAGAAACAAAGTGGATGTTTCCCTATCGAAACATATTTGAACATCCAGTTTTCAACGTATGAAACATAAAGCACAGTGCTTTGGAACTTGGGATATGATGGCCGCTGTGAAGTGGATTTCACAAACAAGAGCGAGCTAATTAGCTAGCTAGAGTGAATCACTCAACCCCCGAAAACTCTTAAGATACTCTTTTAATAACGAGTAAACATAGAGGACAGCCATAATTGAGGAGGGATACGCCCTTGGACAGAGTTGTAATTTGAGTCACACTAGACCGAAGACATGGACGCAGGAACACCATTTCCAGCTGCCCCCATAATTTCCTGAATTACTGTATACACAATTCATAATGCTTTAATTAGATTCTAGTCTTGTTGGTCTGATTTGGGTGTAGCCTGTGCTACTTCTTGCTTGCAGCAGCACTTACTGAGGCCCAAAGCCAGCTCTTACCGCGCGCGGCGGGAGGCGGAACAGACCCAGACCCCAAACAGTCAGACCCATGTGGGTGGCGCTGAAGCCACTCAAAGCAACATCCAAGTGACGACTCTGCAATGCTCCTGGTCTTGATGTACTTTGTTGATGAAATAGCCCCCCCATATGAAGAGGTCCCACCCACACCCATCATACAACATAACAAGGGGTTTGTGTGGACGCGTACCTGCCCGCAAGGTTGATGCATCCAACTGGGGGTTTCTTACGTAATCAATATTGACAAAGGCCAGCCTGTTTCTTCGTCCGGAGGCCAGCCGGAGCCGCGAGAAAGGCGGAAGCGGAGCCAAAGCCCCGGAAGCCAAGGCATGTGGTGCAAGCGGGGGCTTCAGTACTGTAGGCCCAGGTTGGGGGCTGTAGTTTGGGGGTACCTCAAGAATCATCTCAGGAGGAACATGCTCAAGAAGTTATAAAATACGTTCTTATGAGATCAAAAGATCCCTTCTTTAAAGTGCCATCAGTGCCGTATGTGATCTGAGTGTGTTTGAGTTCTCATGCGTGCACAAAAAATGGTTGATCCTGTGACTTGGTTCAGTGTAGACGCACTGATTCAACAACTCTGAAATGGATGGGATCTCACTTAAGGACAGTGTTGGAGATTGTGTCGAATGGCGCCAAAGATTCCGAATCTTCGACTTCCTTTTTGATCTACAAAGACCGGGAGTCAGGAAGCTGGAAGGCGACCCACTGTACTGTTGATATCCCCTTTCTTTCACCTGAGCTGGTGACTTTTGTTGTTCCAGGGTGGGGCAAGAAGTAGTTCATGAGGTCATGCCAGTCAAGAGCATACCCTTCTAATGAAACACATGCTGTACTCGTACTTTCCCTCAATCCCTTATCTCTCTTTTCAGGCACGCCAACAGGATCTCAAAACTCTCATGTTTGATGCGAATATTGAGATAGAATGGGATACAAGGAGAAACCCAAAAAGATACTCACAAAACCAACCCTTTAGACTGTACGTCTTGGCTCAAATCCAAATGAAATTGTTCTTGAGATTGAACCTTGACAGTTCCTTAGATCATGATCCAAAGTAGAAGCCAGGCCGAAGAATTGGATTTCTGACGCCAGCATCTGCCCTTGCGAAGACGTGGAAAAGAAGGACGAACAGCTGCAGGTGTTGACTGGTGTGCCTCAAAATAGTTGGACCCTAAGTATATCTAAGTATCCATGAAGAGATCCTGCAAGTGGAACACCAGAATCCCTGAAAATACAGGAGGAGTAGATACTAGATACTACCTAACTCAGCTTTTTTTGTCCTTCGGTCCAGCCAAGTCCGCCTGGACATCTCCCAAAGTCCTTCGCGGCGCGTGTCTCGCCCAAAGCTTCGGCTTTGCATCGCACACAAAAATTTATATACTGTATACTATATCATATATCATCTATATCCAGGTTGAGTCGCACTTGTTTGTGTGCGCAATTGGTTGCATCCATCAAATAATCCGTCGTCGAGCGCTCGGATGGACCGGCCAACAGCTCCAAGAGAGCCACTCTACTGGACTTACCAGGGCCATGCCATCTGGAAGAGTGGACTTCCATGTTCATGATACCAGCTGGGAAGTTCATTGAAGTTCATGAGCAGCGAGTTGTAACAGGTCACTTGAGTGATAGTATGCTGCTTGGTTCAGCTGTGCTCAAGCTGCCGCTGTTGAAGCCCTCCCCAACACAGACAGTATGTGTTTTGCATGACCCGAGCTCTGCCGCTTTCGACATGCAGCCCGGGTCCTTGCACGACTTTCTCAAAAAAAACAATCCAGTATTGTGGCCATCCAAACACCCTGGAACACTCACCCCTCACCTGGTGGCGATCGGTTAACCTCGGCGTTTCCCGTGCGGAACTCCTCTCGTTTGTCCCATGGCCTAAAATGACGAGCCGCACTGCGAGTAAGAGCGTGGCCATCGCCGATGGTCCAAAGGCTTGGGACGTTGGGTGCATCAAAAGCGCCATCCGGTTTTTGGACGAATGTAGACTCTTGAGGACCATGGTTGCCCCCCCCACATGAAGAGGATTTCATAGCATGTCCAATTCCAATTGTGGGGGGCAACCATGGTCCTCAAGAGTCTAGATTCCATTAAGCCATCCAACCCCATGGTTGGACAGATGGTGACTCTTATAGTCACTTCGGCTCCTCGGGTAGGAGCCGACAAGCGAAGAAGTTGTGTGGATCGTGACGCGCCCGTTGATCGTGACGCGTCTGGCCCGGCCTGTTGGGGCCAGACAGGCACGTCAGAAGGCAAACCATCCGACCGTTTTTTGGAGTCATCCGAGTATGAATGAACACCCGGCAGATTGGTTTCGACGCGGTTTCAATGGTCGATTTCGGCAGATGAACACGAGAGTCTTTTGGGTATTGGTCCGGACTACTGTGGGTGCATGCTTGTTGGGGACGACCCCCAAACTGTCCAAACAGTCCTATTACCTGCCTGTAACAGTCCGTAAAGAATTATAGCTATTTTAGAGAAAGGCCTTTACCAACCATCATCATCCACTATGGCTGGCAATGGGATATACCGTATGACAAAACCGATATACATCGATGTACCCACTAATCCTGTTGTTCATCCTGTTGGGGGTTGGTGAATGTTGACTGACCTTGAGGGCTTTGCCGAGTGGGGTTGAGCCAGCGAAGCCACAACGTTGGGTGTCTGTGATAACCTCTGCCAGACTCGGTCTTCAGGACCCATTACTGGGAGAGCATCAGAACTGTACCCCTTAGGTACAGAGCTAGTCACGAAACTTGCAATTGATTCATCTGGATTCCTGAAAGCGGTTTCACTGGTGTGTTGGACACGCCTTTTTTTCCTGGTTGGGACAGCCCCAAAGCAACCAGATCCAACATGAACCAACCAGGTCTGTGATTCTGCACCTGTTTTACCTTGTTTCCCAGAATTGGTTTGAGGGAAAATTTACAGGACATGCACAGTTTCGAGTCTGAAAACCTTAAATCAATCCCATTGATCGTTCCACTGGAATGACGAACCCCGGTCAAACCCATCGATACAAACCGTGATTCTCCGTGATTCGCAGTACCGTGAGCAGCGTCCGGCAGCGCTGGTATCTTGGTGACACCGATTAGCGGAGACCTCGAAGTAGAGAGGAACATCGACCAGTGGCTTTTTGTCGTCGTGGCTTTTCCTTCCCAGGAGCAAAGGGCATCGCTACTAGGAACAAGGACGCTACTAGGGGCTCCTAGCCGTACTACTAGGAGCGAGAAGCTACCACCAGACCTTTTGTGTAGCTGAAATTTGGTTCAAGCTCCCAACAACAAGGTCCCCCGGTAGGTGGCCGGACAATCGACCAGTTGACTTTTGACTACACCTAGGGTGTAGGGAAACCCACGAGACTTGTATGAGCCTGAGTGCACTACTGAGACACCTAGTAGGGGCGTCGCTACTCCCATGCAGTTGTATTCTTTTCAGCCCAGTGTCATGTCATTCTTTGCCTGCCAATCGGTTCTTTTGGTGTATATTCTAACTAATACTTGCATTATTTCTTTTGAGAGGCCTTCCAAACCGCAAGAATCACTAAGAATTGACTTCCCCTCCCACCTCCACAGCCAAGCCGCCGCCAAGGAGGAGGAGCGATCAGAGACTCACTCTGCATGGATGTCCCTCGGTTCTCGGACGCTTGAAGCGTCCGCACCGTCGCGGCGGCGTCTCTGGTGATCCGAAGAACGTCCAGTCGTCCAGTCCGGTTCCGCCTGAAGCCGGCGCCCCGTCCAGGCGTCCGAAGGTTCATGGTGGGGAGAGTCGAAATTGAACAACCGGGAGCCAGCAGCTGGGGCAACGTGTTTTGCCAAGTCCTGGCCAGCCAGGTGTTTGAGTCATACGAGCTTGTCTTTTGACAATGTTCTATTTGATGTAAACCTAATCAGCGGAATTTGGTTTCCTTATCAATTTAACCATCCGAGACCTTTTACCGGTTCAAAGCACACCAAATTCCTCCTCATTTACTGTAAGTGTTGGCGCTCTTGTGCCAAGTGCAAAGCACCACCCCACCTGTCCCATCCGCTGTTCGGAGATGATATTTGTGCTGGAAAACGTTGAACTTTTTATGGTTTCAAAAAGGACAACTGCTTTACCCCCGTTTCTTTTTTGTGGGTAAACATCGCACGCACGGCTCAGGACGACCGAGCAGGAGCGGGCGGGTCTGAACGGGTGGCCGGGTGGCCCCAACGTTCTCCACAAAGGCAGAAGGGAGCTGGAATCCGTGGCACAAGCAGCCCCAAAGTAAAATAGCAACCTAAAGACAGGCTTTGAAGTGGAGCAGTTCCTCCACCAATGCCATTGTTCGTCAATCCAACGCCCAAGGGCCGTAGAAGCTGGCAACCACCACCCTGAGAAGCTCCGCAGGATGCGGAGTCCCTGAAAAGCTGGCCTTCTCCCTCAGGGGAAGAGGCGCGACAATTGTGCGTTTTTTTATCTTTTCGTGTTCCAAAGGTTCGGCTTTTGCCGGGCGCATTTGTTTGTGAACCTGGTCCAATTCAATAGGAGGATCATGGCATGGAGAAGTGAAGACGGCATTTGACTTGCCCGAAATCTCAGCACAAAAAGCCTCAAAAACCAGCTTGAAGATTCTGTTGTCTCATGTCTCTTGGAGATGGACTGAGAAGCTGAACACACGACGAGAAGCCGACCTCAGGTTGATGCCTTTGACGTGGTGGAGCTGAGCTGCCCGTTGGAGTCCGTGGCGGTCGCCGGGTATTTTCTGGGGCGTGGCATCCGTGAAACGGCAGATCGAAGACCGGAAGAGGTTGCCACCCTTGGGTTCAACAAATCGATAAAAGCAATTGTAAACAAAGACACAGCTTAATAGACATGTAGTATCAACCAACAGTTTGACCAACATGGTCATGTTCAACACACACACACATATATATATATATATAACATTATATAACCAATTGCAACCTTCAAGCAATCACGTGGCCATTCAGTTTGGAGATTCAATCGGAATTCAAGGCGTTCTCTTCGCACGCCCAAGCGTTCGCCCACCTCTAGGTTGCAGCACCACTCACTGCTTTGCACGAACAGCTGGTGGCCATATCTACGGTTGGGGATCCAACTCCTACGGCGAGCTGGGCTTTGCAGGCGCCAGCGGGTCGGCCGGCGACGTCCGTGTTGAGAACCACCCAGGACACCCAGGACCCCTATGACAGCCAATGGCTGTTCAATAGGACACCTGCATTTCAGCGATCTCACAAGGAATTGAATCAACCTCACAAACCACATCCATTTGTCAAGGCGCGCTTCCATTTGTGTTTTGTTTTTTCACCTGTGGGATACAACTACCTCTCACATTTAGCATCAAAATCCACCAAGTCATCTCCGGGTCATCCCCTAAAGCGGTTTTGTGGCAAATCTTCGGATCGCCCTTGTTGGACCTAGGACCGTCGTTTTTTTTCCGGAGATCTCTCTATATATATGTGGTAAAGTAGTTGTTACTAGTAGCTTCTTGCTACAGTCGTAGCTTCTGGCCTCCAACCTACTTGCGATGGCCTCCACCTCAACCTAGCGTGCCTTCACGCTACTAGTATATAATATATTGGTATCGGTTTTTAATTATGGGCCAGTTAGTGGAGCGCCGATGTCTCGTGGGGACGGACGGACTCTGCCGCTGGGGAAGCGGACCTGACGCTTTGGACCATCGTTGTCCCAAATCCAAGACCATCCTTAGATTGTAAAGCAAGTGTCATCAAGGGTCCATTTGGGCAGCCTTGCTGCATGCATCGATTTTCGAACCATGCTCCACGCCCCCCAAAAACATGACCAAACTGCCACGTTACTTACCTATTCCCTCTCCAAACGTGTCACAACAAAAGGACCAATGATGATCAATGCCCCGTCTACGTGTCTGAACTCGCACGCGACGAGCGCCCCCCCCGCGCCCGGGCTCTTGCTCGCAGATGACTCACAGAGCTACTTCTGGGTGCCCAAGGAGCTGATGATTCCTGGGAAGAACATCAAACAGGCCAGGCGGCTTTCCTTTCGGGGTACTTTGCTGGGGAATCAGTGGACTTGGATTTCGGAAAGGTTGTAGTTGTAGTGCTTCTGTTTAAAAGCCAATGCAGGAGAGATGTGCTTCTTTCTCTTGGAATCCAGTTTGATTAGTTGTAGTGAGCGGACGTGCATCAACTTGACGTGCTCGTGGACTATTTGACGCGTGATGTGTGACATACCCAAGCCCCAAAAGCAAAACCATCGCCCGAAATGGGCGAAATGGGTCCAAGACATCCGGTTTTCTGGCAAGGCGACCCCGACCCCCCGCCAGGTGTGCTGTGGACAAGAGTCGTGGCCTCAGATGGGAAAGCGCTTGTTGGAGAGTTGTAGGAGCGGAGCACTCAGAACAAGAGAAACTGGCTATGGATATGGATATGGGCTCCAAATATGGAGAAGATGCGCATCCTCCCAATCTTGATGCCTGGTTGGCTTTATCTATCTATCTTCCTTTCGCACGATATTCCTAATGTCATATTGTTGCTACCCTCCATCGGTTAAATTAAAGATGGAAGCGGACACCTCAGGTGTGAAGTGAACTGACAGAAATGGATTCCTAAGGTGCCACGCAAAGCACCACATCGCCTTTTTTATCGTTGTCTCATTGTGCCGTGTACACTGCAAAAAGAGGTTGTGACCACATCGCTCCATACTTTCATGCCGGCAATCATTACACTCGCTTACATGGAAGTGGTGAGTACCACGGTGTTTGAAGTAGTCTAAGTCGTCTTCCAAGTGACCATTGTCCGTCCACTTCCACCATGTGACTACTCTTCGTCAGAGTGTATTCCATTCGAACGAACCAAAAACCCGCCGACACCCGAAAGGTGAAAAGGAACCGGATCGCCGGCGGGACCCACGCCGCTCGCTAGCCGATAGCCGATAGCTGAGGACAGCAAAAGACAATGGAACTGTGCGGTGATGATGATGATGATGATGATGATGATGATGATGAGACACATGTGGTGATGATGATGATGATGATGATGATGGTGATGGGGTGCTGACGATGTTGTTTTGTTGATGAGGTTTACCTTGGCCATCACCTTCACTGGAGAAATCTGGTCCTGGGGCAAGGGCTCAGAAGGTCAACTAGGCCTGGGGCATTGCCGATGCTTGGATGAAGGCGATCGGCATCACAGGCAAACGTGTTTTTGCGCGGTGGGTGCCGATAAAATAAGGACATGACTTGTACTGCAGAAGACTCGCGTCTTTTTGCCACCCTGTGGGGAATTCTTCGTACAAACCACCACCTGGGACCAGTCCAGAAAGCTGCTGAGACTTTATGATCAGGTCTGTGAGTCTCTGGGGTGGTTTCTGTGAGTCTCATGCGCCAAATATCACAACTCGGGAAGGGGACACTTCGGCGAAGGGGACAGTACTGCCGCATGGTGCTGACTCAACATGGTTTACACAAAACCATCAAAAAACCTTCAGACTCTTCAGTTTCAAAGAGGGCCTCACAAGCACATGTCTTCACTTTCCGCTCCAAAAAGGCACCATCACGGTCCGACCCAAAGGTCGGTCCGCGCCCCGGAAAGCAAGCAGCGCTCGGTCCGAACCCATGTGAATGACCTATCGTGTACCATCTAGCATGAAGCCTCATTCACAGGAAGCCTCAGTCATTCAACATGGTCCTTCTCGGATCACGGGAAGCCTCACCACTTCTCACCGGTTTAGACGTGGACGCCGTTCGTGGACCGACCCACACCGACCCACACCGCGAGACCGGACCGCCGAGAGCTGAGCACTGCGCGAACCGCCACGACGCGGTTCGCGGCGGGTCCTGGATGGACCCGGAGCGGAGGATCCTCGTGGTTCCTGCGAGTCCGCTCGAAACCAGTGGAAGTTCATGGTCCGTAATGTAGACTCTTAATTCATAAACCCCCACATGAAGAGGATTTCCAAGTCAAGAGGGTTTCCAATTCAATGATTTTCATATGTAAACCCCCATATGAAGAAGAGGATGTCCAATTCAGGATATTCAAGTACGGGGGCTTACTAATCAAGAGTCTTAGTCCGATCATTCTGGGATCATTCGTTTGGGCGCTCAAGAGGTGCGCCATCACTGCACACCTTGAACCGCAAACGCTCTTCCACCCTTCCGAGTGGTGGAGGATTGTGTACTGTCAATTAATGTATCTCTATATGTAATATATAGATATGATATGCGGAAGGATAATGATGGACTTTTGACTGATTGAACAATTGTCACTGGTTTTTCTTTAGGCCGTATTCATCAATCCTCACTTGAACTCTTTTTTCCACACAAGGGCCGCAGCACCCTTTTGTCCGCACTGCCTCACATCATCTCATTTCCCCCTTCTTCCACCTTTCTTCAGTTGGTTTGGGGTTGACTCACATGGGGTTGAGTAAATATTCTTTGATTTTGATACATTTTTTGGGGTGGTTGACTCCATTTCTCCCCCCCACCCACCGAACGCGGACCCTCCTTCGGACGCCATTCTTCCGCCGAGCGGAGCGAGCGTTTCTGCGCGCGCGCGACCGCCCGAGGAGATGAAGGACAGCCGTGTCGCATTGGACTGGAGAACGTCCTCAGCTGCGCCGCCGGGGAGTTCCTTGCGCCAAACGCGCGCTTGTGTAGGAACAAGAAGCTACTAGTAGCAGGGACGTTATTAGGTGGAGGCCATCGCGAGTAGGTTGGAAGCCATCGCTGCGAGCTTTGCGCCAACCCGACCGCGCGGATGGTCCGGTGCTTTTGGTTCTCGCACAGTTGCGACGTCGATGGCGCCGGATCGATGGTGTGAGCTGTTCAAGAAGGTTGAGAGCAGGTGAAAGACCAGAGTGCCACAGCAGTTGCTGTATGAACTTGAACTCTAGGATGAGGTACCTCAAGTGCAGAATTTGCCATTCTATATACTGCAATATACTGCATATATTATGTTGTACATAACCAGCTAATACTAGAGGGTCATTTGATATATCGTACCACAGCAAACCTTTGGGTCCTGTGCTCTTAGTTAGACGGCTAGGGAACATGCTGTCTAGCTGCCGCTGCTCTGGATGTTTCTCGAACCGGACCTTCCTCCAAGGCAGCACAGCGCTGCCATCGCGGAATCCACGGATGGAAGCGCCTGGGTGGCATGGAGCATGGCTCAGCTTATCGATGGGGCGTGACCGGAGATGACCGGAGCGACGTTTTCCATGCCAACGGCGAGTGATGCGAAACCGAAACACGGCGAAAGCCCCGGTGTCAGAGCCGAGAACCGGTCGGTCTGTTTTGACTGGTTGGGTCGTTCGTGGACCTCGGAAACCCCGGTTGGGGGAAAGAAACACTCCTTTAAAAAACACCTTTTCTTGTGCAGACAAGTAGGCCAGCAGAATATGTTTTTCCATGATACCCTGGTGGTCCGGTGTGCGTCAGCCGGCACTTGCCGCGCAGCCAAGCCACGCGGCCCCGACTCAGGAGTTCTCTACACCTGGGGCATGGCCGACAGTGGCATGTTGGGTCTGGGTGGCTTCATTACCTGTGGGCCGTGCAGCATGCCCACGCAGGTGTGACTGCCTGCGACGTGTTTATATGTGTCGTTGTCGAACTGACGAAAGCACTAGGGTGGATGGAAGGAAGACAATGGAAAGCCCATGTAAAGCCTACAGAAACCATTGCCTCCAACAGCACAGCGGAAGATAGTGGACATTCGACAAACTGGACATGCAGAAGCTGTTGAAAACATGTCTCCAAGTCTGTTAACATGAGGACACTGTATATTCAAGGTTCACTGGCTCTGGCCAGCTCTGGCGGGAACCGAGAGGATTCTCCTGGACCGTCCGACCATCCTCGTTCAGACCCCCAACCGTTCGCACCGTTTCGCGCCGCCGAAGCGGCGTCCGCCTCGCCTCGCCGAGTGGCACCGATCTTCGGACGTCCTGCGAAGTCGTTTTCTTCGCAGGTGGAGTTTGACTTCGGCAAGAACATGTATCCCACCACGGCCATCCGGCATCAGCAGACTGATGGGATATTCTTGTTGACTTGGTGGAAAAGGGATCATTTATCCGGATGTGAAGCTCGTGGGCCAGTGATAGAGAAGGACAGTATAGGCATAGTAGGCCAAGGCTTCAATTGACTCAACGACAATGTCTACTGTATATCTTCATTCGTCTTTTGGTCCACTCGCTTTGTATTTGTTCACTCGCGTCACACCGCGTCACACCGTTCGTGACTGTCCGCACAGCCACAGCCACATGAGGTGAGATGTGGCCCCAGCCACACCGGGGTGATTTGCAACTCCACTGCAGTGGTCAAGACCAGAAGAGAGGCATTTCGCTGGGAGAGGAGAAGGAAGGCTTTCTTTGTATCGGAGACCTGCTTGGAAGCAAGAACAAATTGAAACTGCTTGGGTTGTCAAAATAGAGTCGTCTTGCCAGAAGCTGTTCGAGAAAAGCTCGAAGTTTGCCTGCAGGCCGAAGAGGACAATGCTCTCTATACCTTTGGAAATGGCTGGTATGGGAGGTGCGCTTGGCATCTAAACATGTTGTTTTGCACCTTTGCAGCATGCTGATTTCTTGCATTGTCGTAGTCGGTTGTCCGTTTAGATGCTCCCAATGTCGCTTGACTGACGCCTTGAAAGCAGTCTTCCTCGCATCAAGCAAAGGTAGGGTATTTTGTTCATGGGGATTTACAGTTCATCTACAATATATATATATACATATATTGAATTATATAGAGGGTTCACTGTATCATGTATAAATAGACATAGACATCTATATAGTAGACTAAACACATACGTGAACCCAAACCCTCTATCCACACACTGGACCGTACTCATCCAGACATGATACCGTACATGGCCGTGCTCAACATCATTGCTCTCCTTGGGGAAACCAAAACCGTTCCTCACATCTCCCAACCGGGCCCGAAAAATCGAGCGATGCCGAGCGCTACCGCGTCGCAGGTTGGGCCTGGGCGATACCAAGTCGCAGTTCCATCCGATGCGGGTGAAGCTGCCCAAATCGCTGCGAGACGTGTCGCTGGGCACCGACCACACTGCGGCGGTGGCTTGGACGTTCGAATCCGTTCCTTCGCGAAAGCCAAACCAGGCCGCGTTAGCGGTTTGTCATCCACCCAAGCCAGGCCGGGTTTTGGTAGTGAAGACAGGTGAACACAAACGAATCGTTTTGGTGGATGAGTTGGGTATCCTGGCAGGGAAGACCTTGGTTGATGAGTTACTGCAGTACTACTTAGATGTTAATTTTTCTCCGGTGTGCCTTTCAAGCACTGCCACAGAGCTAGAGCCAGCGGGCTGACTTGTCGATCTTCAACATTGGGGACCTTTTCATTTGATCTTGTGAACAATTTTAGGTGTATACTGTGTACTGGTCCATTTACAAAGATCACCCAACTGAGTGTGACGTTTTGTTCCCAACTGAGTGCGACGTCTTTGGGACCTTTGGGTCCGCGTCGCTTCGCGCGTTGGCCTTGGTGCACTGAGATCACTTGGGCGCATGAGCTCTATGCCTGGGGGAAGGCCTCCTTGCTTGGAGAAGTGCAACATGTGTCTGGTCAAAACATTTTTTTTTTTTCTGCACCTGACACAGCTTGAGGGTCATCTCTCTAGTATGATGTCCTTGAGACCCTTTAGTAGAAGATAACCGCAATCACATCTATCTATCTATCTATCTATCTAGAGTCTCAGGCCAGCTGTACTTCTTGCAATTTCCAGTTCACATCAGAATCAAGAGCTGGGTGCATTGAAGTCTGAAGTTGATTGATAACATCTTCTGTGTTTGATTGAAACCGTGTTTGGGATGCCCCAGCATGTGGCCGGGGTGCCTTTCGGTCCGGCGGCTTTCGCTCCAGAGGTTCTGAATCCCAAGAAGTTCTCCATCGAGGGAAGCTCTGAGTTTCGGAACGTGGTCTGCCGCTTGGACCGTGGTGCTGACCGCTGACCGCTGCTCTCCACGCATCTCCGCGTCGTCCGCGTCCGGTCGGGTCGTGGAAACGAGTTGGTCCGCGCGGAGTTCTCAGGAAGGTGGGGCCCTGGAAGGTGGGTCGGTCCCGCTGCTGGTTCGCTGAACTTGGCCTCCTGGTGGTCCATTTTGATAGGGAGATGGTTCCCTGGCCCAGGGCAGGCTAGATTGATCCACCCTCCTGGTCTTTGGACAGACACCCTCATGGTGACGCGCCGACTCGCCCCGACTCGCCCCACCACCGAGTCGGGACCCTGCGCTGGCTCGAAGCGATCGGGACCGTGCGAGTCGGGGCCCGATTTCGGGTCGAGTTCCGTTCCGAGGTGGAGGAAATGAGACGTTCGTGATCGACCAGCAGGGCCGCTTATTCGCCTGGGGTGCCAATCAATGTGGGCAACTGGGCATAGGCTGGACGAGCTCGGACCAGATCCAAGAGTCACTGTGCAAGACACCCAGCGATGAGATAACGAGTGTGGGAAGCCAGATATTCTAGTTGAATTCTTGAACTTGAGCCAGCATGAATCCTTGAAGACCTGCCAGCTGAGCTAAACTGGTTGTGTTCCTACCAGCTCTTTTCCAGGGCAGCAAGCTGGAAGCTTCGTTCAGACCGCCAGCCATGTGAAGCCGATTCACGACCCCGCCGCCTGGTGACAAAGGTGTGGACGCTCCGGTCAGGACGGTCGAGGACAATGGATGCGTGAGCCCTGTTTTTGGATCCCCCAAAATGGCCAAACTTCTTATCAAGGAGGTCATGTTATGGTGCTAGGTATATTATATATGCTGGTACCTGGAGACACGATGTATATCTAACGTTATATACAAAATTATACAAAGAATATCGATCAACATCGATCAACCATCATATCAGAGAAAAACGGACTCTGCAAGCTGGCACTATGAAACTGGTTACTGGATCTTACTGGTCATTCTGCAGAGAGGAGACCTCCACAAATGACCTCCACATGTGAGCTCAGCTTGTGACGAGTCTAAGGGTCTAGGGAAATGCTGGCGTATGGTGGTGTCAGTTTCGATGGACAGAGTTGATTGATGTTGATTGACTGATCCCCTTTCATGGAGATAGGATCAGCGATTTCGCAATACAGATTGAGCAATGATCTTCGTGGGTTTACTGAGCTTTGTTGGTGTGGTCATCGTGCACCCCGAGAACGTGCTTGTTTACCAGCCATGTGGGCTTGTTTACAAGACGCGCAGTCTTTGCCGTAGTTACTTAGTTCCACTATGTCCTCTCACTCCACTCACTCCACTCACTCCACTCGGACGTTTCTTCGCTTTCTAAGCAGGGACAGAGACCTGCCAAAGACCTCAGATTTAAAGAAAGGAAACGAGAGAACACTGACCATGTGTGAAAGAAGCGAAGATAAACCCATGGGCCGCCCATGCACCAGATTTGAGTTGTACGGATTCTTAGTCGGACCCAGGTCGCCTCGGTGGTCTCGGGAGACACCTTCACCATCGCCCGACTGGCGCCCTCGGCTGGGGCGGACGGACCAACATGCGGACGGAAGCTGGGACCTGGGGACCTTGAAAACCTTGGGTTGTTTCTCTTACTGTAGATCATCTTGGAGCTCTTAGCAAGTATGTTTTTTTAGCATGGTAAACGCCATGTCAAAGCATGGTCCGGAGTTTGCTGGGATGTAGAATTCAGGGTGGGCAACTCTTCCCAGCTTGGCAACACTTATCTGATTCTCGGCAGGACCAGCCTGGTGCCCAAGAGGAAAACACTATATACAGTGAAACCATCCAAAAGCACGCAGTTGTGCTCCAAAAGCAGGTGGCACGGTTGCGCCCTCTTTCAACACTCTGCCGGTTTCTTCCAAGGTGAATGGTGATGTCTTAGCCTGGGGAAGCCAGAGTTGTGGCCGTTTGGGCCTGGTCGAAGTGAAGGAGACAGAAGCGGTCTCGACCGCGTCCCAGGGCGACCGACCTCCCATTCCGAGGCATGACTGGGTGTGCCGCATGACCTCTAACACTGGGTGTGTCCAAGAAGAGAAATTTTAGATATGTCCTGCAACCAGGCCCCATCCTCATCCTCATCTACTGTTACTGGTTTGCTGGGATAGAAATATCCCATCTAAGAACGGTCTAAAGTTGGACGGTTCAACCCAGGCGTTCTTGTGTCGAAGAGTTGGTCAATCCTGGCCCCGGCCTGGCCCCGACCTGGCCGACCTGGCCCTTGGTGAGGCCACCTTTGGTGAGCCAAACATGATCAACTATGCATAATGGGATATGATATATCCCAAGTGTATCCCAGTAAACAACAGCTCTTGCCCCACCAGATCTCAGGCAGACCATGTAGACTATGGCCAAACAGGCAAGGCACTCCATGACTCAAATGTAGTTATATTCAGAATGTAGATATCCTTACGCTACACATCATAAAGCAATAGTAGAGGTAGATCCACCATTTTTTGATTGTTATCCTCAATCCTGGATGTTTCATCTACTGAGCTGGTTCTTGAAACCTTAAGGTGACTCTGAAGTTTATTCAATTGAACATCGTTTGCTTCAACCATTTGGTCCGGCGACCAGAGGCCGCGCAGCCTCACATCGATGGGGAGACCACCTGACCTTTTCAGAGCTACACTGTCCGTGGGCTTTTCCGTATCTCGAGACACCATGGTAGTAAGTCGGACGTAAGTGCAGACTGCTGTGTCGCCAGAGAGAGAGGTTTGGGGTAGAAACCGAGCGAAGTTTTTGGTAGCCTTGCCGTGTGTTGAACCTGAACAGACATGAAATTATGCAAGGAAATCTCACAACGGCTGGACTTGACATGACTTGACTCAATCCAACAGTTGTGCGTCTTGAGCGGGAAACATGCAAACCTGGACAATGAGGAAACCACAGGACCAGGTCCTTTTTCCGCCTCGACATGTCCCTCTAACTCAGGGCCAGAGGAAGGACCGACCGGTTCGACCCCAGGAGGAGCGCATCTGCTGGGACCCCTCCCTGGTCGTGGCCACCTGGTCAACCGCTGCCGCGGTCTCTGCTAAGAAGACAGGGCCACCCGGCAGAGGAAGGACTGAAGGAAGGCCCTGCCCCTCCCTCCCAAAAACCTTTTACTCTTGGTTTGTTGATTTATACCTGGGATACTGCAGATACATTCAATAGGTCTCTGAACCTCTTGATTTGTTCCAAAAGGACGTCAGAAGGGAGATCTGGCTGGTTCCCTCCAATCTGAACTTGAGTTCGGAATCCCAGGTCTCAGTGCAAAACACTCTGAATCTATCATCCCAATACGTGATTGAACTGTCAAACATCCGATACCATCGCATCTCAATCCGAGCGCAGCTCGACGGTGTCCGGAGCATCTATCTCGGGGGGGATCACTTGAGAATTTTGGAAGAGCACCATGGGTCCTGGGGTCTTGGGATGTCTTGCGATGTCTAAGTTTCAGAGTGGGTTGTGGCTCCAGTCCATTGGTAAGAGTCCACTTATGTAACTTTCCTGGGATTTGGCGAGGCGGGGGGATCCATAATATTCCTCTTTATAGATTTAACAAAGAAGGGTCAGGGAATCCTCTAAACACTTGCTTTACAGAACGTGTTTCGTCGTTCTGTCCGAGCACCTTGCACCATGGATCGGACAAATTGAGGTATACATGTGTTATACCCCAGCTGCGCGTACTCCTACGGTTCTCTGCTGTTGAGGCGCAAAAATCGCAAATCGATGGGAAGCGTACGTACCGACACCACAGATGCTGAGGACTGCCCGGTTGTGTGTCTCTTTCAGCCTCCCAGTTTCGCCAGCTGCATACATTTGCAGGAAGTGCCTCAGGCAAAGCAGACAGCTGGCAAAGACAAGACTGCCAATGTTGCTGCTTGCTCAGCCTTAAGACACTGCCATGGTGTTATCCATTGAATGTTTCGAGGCATTACTTTAGGGATGTCACCCGGCAGGAAGCATGATCGCTGAGGTTAGCTTTGTGATGCTCCAAACCGTGCTGCAGCAAGAAAGCAATGATCACAGCAGTGCTGAACTGAAGCGTTATGCCGAACAACTGGAGCAGACTGCGAAGCTTGGTTATGAGGACGATGTCTGAGCTTCTTTGTGGCTTTTTCTTGTGGACGGGGCGGAGGATTTGCTTTGAACATGACCTACTGGCTGCCGGACCACATGGATTCAATCAGACTCAGAGCAGATTGTTGGTGTTGCGAAGTTGGTGCTCGACCCAGGAAAGAGATCGTTTGGGATATCCAGAAGCTCAAGAAAGAAGAGGACTGTCAATGGTGGGACTTGTGACACAATGCCGAAATGGCATCGCTCTCTCAATGTTTGATTGAACAAGAACGGCTCAGTGCGAAGGTTTATCATCAGGACATCATTGATGTCAAACCTTGATTCTTGGTCAAGATCACACAGACTTCCACTGTGATGGCTACTTCTGCGAAAACGCTTTCAGCTGGCACCCAGACAGACAGCCCAGTTGGGCCCGCTGTCGCCAGGAGCCCTTGCTGAAGCTGGAAGCCCAGCTCAGTGACTCCTTGAAGATGAATCTTCGCCACCTGGTTCCGAACACTCCACAATGACCGGGACGACCGGCGACGACCGGTGGGTGCGAACTCACACGATGGGCGGAGGGAAACGGTTTCACGAGCCGAGCCGGGAAGGAAGCGGAAGGAAGGGAGGGGTACCCGCTGTTTCTTGTGGGGTTGAACTGTCAAAGATCGTCTGCTTGAGCTTGTGGTTGATTGTCCACCCACTGCCTTGAACCGTACCTATATAGTATAAGGAGTATGTAAGGAGTATCAGTATAATACCATCTTTTTTGATTTATTTGGCGGCCTCCCAACCCAAAGCGCTCGTTGCCAAACGCTCGTCATGCGAGTCGGCCGATCGAAACGGATGAAGCGAGCAGGGTGAGACGACATGTCGTTTACTGTAGTCTCAACGGAATGCAAGTAGGCTGACATGGAAAAAAGGGCCATGCCTAGCAGAAAAAGATTCATAGTCAGTGCACTCCTTCTACCTTTATATACTTATTTTACGACCAAGCACCTACAAAATCAGAGGCCATTTTGAGAGACACAGAAGCGCTTCGATCCTGACGTTCGATCTGGGTGACCCATCTGGTCAGATGGGTTTTCAGGCCCCTGGAAAACGCTGGGCGTCGTTGACCGGATCTCCGCCATCGCGGCGACACGGCCGAGGTTGGTTTCGCGGCCTGGTGGTGCCCGACGCTTCCACGACCTTGTTGGATGCACGACTTCCGCACCACTTGGCGGTGGGGTGGGGCGGCACTCGGAGGGGAGCATGTCACCGGAGCGGTTGGACGATCATGCTGTCGTTTGAATGCGCTTGGCGTAGTACTTGGTTCTCCAATGTAGCGCACACACATTCACACATGGAAGTGGAACAAGAGTTCATGATCTAGCCCAGGACCACCCCGATGCTCTACATATCTCTACATTGTTCCTTAATCACTGCCTCGTCTTCGTTGCCCCGTTTTGTGCAGACCTATGCACGAATGTGTTGGATCCTGCAGCAGCAGACCACTTATCTGACTCAGCTCTCGCAGTACCTTCATGGCTTTGAGGCAGAAACCTTCAGGGCGGGGGCGGGGTGGCAGACGACTCAAGCTGCTGGTAAGCTTGTGCGGACGACTCCTGTTGAAGAAAGGAAGACCAGGAAGCGAAGGACCTCAGATGGGAACATCCAACATCTTTTGCAGTTTGATTCAGTTTGTAGAGGTTTGAGGGTTTCAGGTTCTGGTTCCCGGAAATCCGGGATCCCTGCACTTCATTTCTTCCATGCAGGCGTAAGATAAGCCCATTAATTGGGGCTGCCCTCCATTGTTCAGATACTTTGATACTTTGTTTCTGCTGAAAGGCAGAATTGAATATACTACATACTGAAGGATCGAATGTCACACAATGTTCGAGTATGATGTGCTTTTTCTCCAGGCAGACATTTTCTTGGAGACGGTTGATGCCCTCTTTGGGGACGTCAACGACGAGCGGCAGCTGCATCTCTTCAACTCCTTACAGACTCGAATGATTGCCAAGGAGGCAGAGAATGCAGGCGAAACGTCCCGCGCCCGACGCGCTAACCGCGGCACGTCCCGCGGGACGAACTCCCGGACACCCGCGTGGGTTGGAACCATATGAAACCACTCTCGGTCGGTTCGAACAAGAGAGGCAGAGGGGAGGAGTGGCAAGGAGTTCTCTTCTTTTAAAACCCCGACGAGTCGATGATTTTGACTTTTGCTGGGAACTCTCTGCTGAGGGGTGAAATCATTCACCTGGTCACCAAGGGCATTGTGGACCGCCTGCAAGGCACATTTTCAAGTCCAATTATATATTATATCAGCACGAATCAGCACCTATTGCCGCTTGTCATGTTAATAATCAGGGACACAACGCATTGACCACTGAATTCTTCGCTTTAGGGCTCTCAGGGAAGAAAAGACAACGTGACATGTTGCTGTGCGGCTGTGCAACACGACATCAGGCGGATCCCCTGAGAAGTTCATGGACAAGAGAGACTCCATTGGCTTTATGGTCTTCTCGCGACGTTTCTTGCGAGACCCGGTGACAGAAGTGACCCAACAGCTCTTTTATTTGCGATGTGTGAGGCGTTAAGAAGTCTTATATAATCTCATATAAGTTAATGATCTTTCCAAGAAGGCCACTCTCCATATTAATAGTACAATCAGGTACAATCCATTTTCCAGGGGCCATTCACTTTGTTATGTGTTGTTTGTTTCCTCAAATGGATTGCCCAAGAGATCCTGCGTTGAACCTTCAATCCCCAAGTTCGCTCCAAACACTGGCCCAAAACGCGCGTCAAAGGGCCGCTATGAGTTATATAACAGTGCGCGGGTGGTGTGTCTTTATTGGACCTTCTTCCTTTTCAACACATCAGCCCCCTGTGCTCGGTGCATGTCGCTTGCCGTGAGGCCAAGGTCGAAAAACATGGATGGTCGATGTATGTCGAGGTGATCGCGTTCTTTTTGGGCCGACCATCGCTTTTCGTTTGGACCACCGCGGCCGTGGCCGGGACCGGACGCGGCCGAACACGCTATGAGGACAGGCCTTCGCCAAGGACGTCTTGTGGCCCTTCCTGGGCTCCAAGGACCGGACGGTCTGTTCGTTGTTCGCTGGCGGTTTTTTTTGGTTTTTTGGAGCATTGGTTTTCTCAACACGAAAATAGGCATCCCAACCGGAAGATGTAGAAGCTATAGGAGTTCTCCAAAAAAGAATGAACGGGTGGGAATTCTGTCCATGCGGCCAGTGGACGCACTGTTGATGGGAAAGCCCCCATCTACAGGACTTGTCGCGTGCGTCGCAGATTGCCACGAGCGGACACCAATGTCGATTTGCTTCTACAATTCAACTTGAACTCCTTAAAAAGAAATCACACCTACTATAGTACCTATATGTAGTAGGTACTATAGTAGGAACTCTGCAAATCTACATATAAACCTACTGTAGTACCTACTATGCTTAATCTTCGCACCAGATCACCGGGTGCCTTTTTTGGGGTTGGTCTCAAAATGAGGATTGAGACTTGGTCTCTTCATCTTCTTTGGTTTTTTCCAGGGAGCTCCTTGAGGCTCCGGAAAATGCGCTCCAAGCATGTATGCAAGATTATGCAAGCATATGCAAGCTTTCCAGTCCAAATCTCGTTGAAGTGGAGGATTCCATTCTCGAACTGGTCGGCTCCATTTCCAGCTCTGCGAATAGCACTGGATTCTGCTTGAGCTATGCTGACTTCAAGGAGCGACCAGCAGGAAATTGGGATGTTGAAGCACATTTTCAGACGCGAGGTTCAGAATGAGGCAACATTTCCCTCACTGAGAACGGGTCTTTTTGCAGCTGAGCTCTACTTTCTTGGAAGATCTTAGGAATTTTCTTGAAGTTTTGACCCAGATGAAGCTGCGTTGAGAAAGATGTGGTCATGGCGGCAATGGCTCAAACATGGGCTACCATAGTGACTCCCAGGAAGTACAAGACCATAAAAAAGAACAAACTGTTTTTCGGTGGCCCGAAAAAAGGAGTTTCCTTTCCGTGGCGCGACTTCGAGGGCACTAGGTGTTAGGGCTCTTTTTGCCACACATCACTGGTCCACAGGGCTTTTCACGGTTCCTCGATGGTGCCGGACCCGACCCTGTCCAAGATATCGCCGTGTCAGGAGAAGCTGGGCGCAGATGGCAGAGGCAAAGATGAGGTGGAGTTGAACAACCTGTACTCCGGGAGCGGTTTGGATGCACCAAGCATTTCATGAAGCGCCTCAGCCCTCCAAATTCTGAAATGGCATGAAATGCCAGGAGTTCCTGGAAATGCATGCAAACACCGAGTTCTCCACCAACAGCAGTCCATCAGAACTTAACCGATGTTTGTTTGCACTCAGACCCCCGCTCTGGCCAGGTTTGAAGGCCTTCCGAGACTTCCTGACTGGAGGCCATTGGGGCCATGGCCCGTGTTAAAAAGAGGGAGGAGGTCTATAAGAGAGGCTTTTTGGACGTTTTCGGGGTTGAAGTTGAAAGGTAGAGTAGAGAGTTTCAACGTTTCATGGTCCTGCTCAATGAGTGCCGGATGCCCTCCCGAAAATATGGCTGGGTGTTTCGTGCCATGGTACTGGGTCTTTTGAAAACCTCCTATCATGAGCCATGTGGTCACGTGGCAGAACCAGGTGCGTCCCTGCTACGTAGTGAGTTCAACGCTCGGAGACCCCATGAAACTGGTCACAAAACGGTCCCAGGAAACAACCAAACCGCTGGCGGAGCGGTTTTTGATGCGCTTGTTGATTGCGATTGATCCAAAGACTGCCAAACGCCCTGACTCATTGATGTCTCAGAATGGCAGCAGTCTCGAAGTCCGTTGAAGCTTTGTGCGGAAGGTTTTCAATATCTCGTTCAGGTTTTCTGGACATCATCCGCAAGATCCAGTTGCCCAGATCCATGCAACTAGCTTTGCGTCAAGTGGCTCTGGCCTCCCAGAAGCTTGGCATCGTCCGTTCGAATTGCGTGGATGAAGCGCCAGGGCTCCGAAGTGTTGAGCACGTTGTCCCAGATCCATGCAGGTCACCAAGTACCCGCAGTACCCATTAAAAAGATCACGTCCCCAATTAAGAAAAAACACCATGTCCGAAACCCTAAATACGTTACTAGTTGTTTTAAATTACCGCCCTTCCAAACCGCTACTAAACTACCAACATGGTCGATTTTGGGGGTAGTTTTTAAACATTAGGTTCCAAAAACAACCCTAACTGCTCACCTCTGTCCACCCTGTCTATCCACCAGACACGCCGCGTTTACACCAGCAGGTTGTCCTTCCCCCAATGGCACGGACTCACCTTTCAAAAGCTTTAGTTGCTAGTCTAATGAAGAATCACTACTTAATAAAGGTGTTTGTAAGGTGAAAAGGAAGACCCTTCGATCTGGAGGTTTTTTCAATTTTGATACGAGTTTAAGAAAGGATTCTATATAAAGAATTTCCTGGGTGACTTTTTGGTTAATCAATGATGCAAGGATCCTCCCACTGACTCTATTTTGGACAACCCCGATTTCAGGGATCCCCAATTAAAAAACAATGCTCCCGAGTTTTTGTTAATAGGGGGTGATGGGGGGGCCTTTTTCTTTTTAAGGTGGAACGGATTAAGTGACAGTTGTTGCTAGACTGGTGAAGAATCATTGACCTTCGATGACCTTCGGCAAGACTGTTCGATGATGGGGTGGCTGATTCTCAGCCGTCGAAGGCACGAGCTTTCGACAGACATCCATCCGGCCCAGGCAAGGTGTCACACCTGAACTCAACACGGATCGGAGTTACAGTACTGAATCCATTTGCATGGTCTTTTTGAGCTTCCATCTGAGCCATGCATAGCCATGCGGGCTGGGTTGACCATGTTGATTTGGGTGCACAGGGCAAATGAGCTGGATGACTGTGAAACGACTGGCTGAGGAGATGGAAAGACTCAAGCCTTCTTGCAGATATTGAGAAGGAGCAAAGGCCGTACCAGCCAGCTTTAAGACCTTTGGCATTGGGCATGTGATCCGATCAAAGAAAACGGCGGCCCTTTGTTTCGGGGATTTGGAGGATGACCGACCTTGGGTGCGAACTGCAGTGAAACCACAGACTCCTCTGACTGACCTGGGGGGAGATTCCACTTCACTTTTTGTTGGATATAGGTTTGGAGGGTATGCTTTTGGGTGTGGGACAGGGGGACAGAGAGCGATTCCACCATATTCCACCTTTCTCGAGCAGGGTGAACATCAACAGGTCAAAATGCAATCATTCGGCCTTCTCCTCACTGGCACTGCGGTCATGCACCTGCACATACTTCGACAAACCTTGCATTGCGCTGGTGAACCTTCAGTCCTAATCGACAGATAATTCGCACAGCCCATGTTGTTTTCTTGGTAGACACATTTACTGGTGCAAAAGAGAGGTTTTGCTGGTTTTGCTTTAACATGTGGCTCCATTGTATTGTTTGTCGTGTCTAATCGAGTTTTGGGCTGTTTCGCTGGTTTTGCTCTAGGCTGCCAGGGCCTCCCATGATGTGTACTCGTACTACCCCCGGTGCGACTCAGCCGTTCGAGCCAAGGACTGTTTTGCTACGGCATCATCGAGCCCATCATGCGCGATGGAGCTCAATATGCAGCACCTTGGCTTGCAACACTTAGCTGCTTGGGGTTCTGTAGCCAGGCGGACATGGCAGAAAATGGTCACCTTTTGGTACCTTTTGGTACGTCCTTTTCTACAGCTTTGTTTAGTTGTTTGTGGCACGGGTGTTTAGATTCTCTATTTGAGCAGTGGAACATACCCGTGGCCCGCCTGAGCACCATATGTTTTTCAACAGGTTAAACAACATTCAACAACCAGCGTTTTCTTCTATGGGGTCAGGTGCCTGCGAACTTCCTGAAGAAGAGTGCCGCGGATTACAAGCCAGATGATCCGCAAATAGCATCAAACTTTGAGCCTTGGCAAAATACAACAACAACAACAGGTAAGCCTGGGTCGAGCTATTGGTGGACCACACCACCCCTAATCATGGAACATTTCACATTCCCGAGGTGATTGTAGATCCCCCTCAAGGGTCTTGGCTCAGTCGTTTAAAGGGATGATTTGCATCAGGAGGTGCAACAACAATCCTTTGGGATTTGAACCCAAATTTCCGTGTAGGGTGTAAGGAACTTGACAGCTGTTTGTTGGGACGGCATGGTCTGCAGCTTGCACGGCATGGATTCTGCACCAAAAACGCTTCTGAAGGATTGCATCGCTGACTTCTTGGACAAGATGCTGTCAAATACCATTGATCCAAAAGAGCTTCTTGCCTACAGTCAGTTCTTCGGTGTCTGCGGTTCTTCGCTTCGTCGCGTGCCTCGGTCCGGCTCCGTCACTTGACCGCACCTGGAGCAGATACTGCACAGATGAGCGTTGCCAACAGATCTGTGACCCTTCCGGAAGATCTGAGCTTGGGGATGGTCGGGGTGTTCCACCCCGCGGGCGAACATAGACGAAGGTGCTCGAGAGGCCGAAACTGGCGGGATTGGGAGGCACTCAAGACGGCCGAAGGGACCGACGGCCGTCTTTTCATTGGTCTTGGGATGTCTTGGGGCGGCTTGAACCCCTTTGAACCCTGTGGGCCTCTCCACCCTTCAACTGGGCACCCAGCCGGCTTTGATCTGGCTGACCGGGGGTTCTACCGAAGTCCAGCCGTGATCGACAGACAGGCACCCAAATCATCCCAAATGGAATCTTCCTCAATCTTCCGTGAACACCCAGTGATTTTGGGATCCAACCACGTGAAAAATCATCTTCCCAGTGGTTGTATCTCTCACATCCCCTTTCCCTGTCGCATCGCCGAGGAAGGCGCTGATTTCTGCTGCCCGGTTGATCAAAGAGGAGCTGCTGGCATATGTGCGCCGCCAGAGCGAGGTAGAGGATACCACTGGCCCAGACATCCTGGGAGACGCTTGGTCTCAGAAAACACGAGACCGTTTCTCCCCAAATGGACGGAACCTACTGAAAAATAATAACCTCAATATATATTGGGCATTCTCTATGTCAGATGGCTGGTTTCAGAGTTGGTGGCATTTCGACGCTTTCACATGGAGCCTCTCGGAAAAAGATCAACGCTTTAAGGGCCTGCTTCTTTGGGCTTGGTGTCAGATGACACCCATCAGTTGCACCTGCCTGATGTTTTCCTACTGACTACTAGCCGTTTGTTTTCATTCAGACCAAACAGCTGTTTCATGTCGACCACACTCGACCACTTCCGATTTGACGAGGCCACACTCCAGAGCCACTATTCGCGGGAGAAGAGCTTTGTGACCATGTCGCAGGTGCCCCCCGCGGGTGAGCCGCGAAAAGCACGGGAAGAGGAAGCACAGCATTCATGGTTTTCTTGTTCTGGAAGTCAATCAGGAATATTCTGCCGCTGCCGCAGCTTTCGAAAGTGCTTTGGTAGTGGATTGAGCTCTCTTTGGGTATCAATGGGTGAAAAGAGAGGGCTATGGTGCTGGGATCGGCGTGGCTTTACATTGACAGTTTCATTGTCAGGCACCAACCACACTGCAGCAGGCAATTTTTTGCAAATGTGTTCAAAAGGGTTTGGTAACCTTCAACACCAACATCCATGAACCACAGATGTAGTTCGTAGCTGTGAGTCTTGCCATCAACCGCCATGTTTCTCACTTGGCTGTACTTGTCTTTGTTATGCCCTGGTGATCCATGGTGTGTTTATTTTGAAAGCTGAGAGTGTCACTGCCATTCTTGGGTCCTATTTTCGCTCTTATTTTTAACCAGGCCCACATCATGAAGCTCTCAAACCTGCTGCTGGAATGGAGCAACAAGCTGCGAATCAAAGAGCACGACCAATTGGACGCGTGTGTGAAGAGCATACCTGAATGGAACAAAGAGACGATTACGCCTCTTGGATGCGAAAGAGGGAGGGAAGAGTAAAGCAGGTCCAAGTGATCAGTTGTTTGTCGACTTCACTTCCAGGATGGAACAGCTTTCTCGCTTTGCAGTCGGGTGCAGCAAGAACCCGCTCAGGATCAGTGAGAGGTATGAAGTGCGGCTGAACTTCGAAATCAACACCCGCTTTATGATCACAGAAGAGGCATGCTCGTGTGCTCCCTTTTGCTCACGTGTCCTCTAGCACGTGAGCACATGGTATGGGTTTGACTTTCAAACTGCTGACAGAGCAGAGTTGTATCAAGTGACTCAAACTCACTTCGTTCGCAAGCCTTGTGTTTTTGATCGTTCTTGCTTCCAAATAGTTTGACGTTCATGTTTAAAGCTCTCGACACTGATGCAGGAGATCCGCCTTTGTAAGCAATCAATGTGCCCCTTGCCCGAATGGGCATGCAGTGCGAATGCTTCTCATCGACTTGTCTCTTGGCATCAGACTGGGTCTCTCGGTCTCTCGGAAACGTGAAAGAGACGACCTCATTTGTCACGCGTGACTGTTGGCCAAGCCACAAACACGGTGCCTCTGAGTGGAAGCAAAAAGCCCATGGAAGTTATTGACCGGGATGTTCAGGATGAGCTGGGCGGCTGAGCGTTTGGGGATGGCTGTTCGTGCGTTTCCCAGGCTGAGCAAAGGCCGGGTAATTAAGAAGAAGTTCTTTGAGAGACAGCCAGCCCAATCACTGGTACTGTTCATGGAGAGTCCGATTTGCAGAAGAAAAGGAACGCAACAATTCCACCATGAGAATCCACGAATACCAAACCTTTTGTTTCCATTGGTCATATTGCCGTTGGATGGGTCTCATTTGGTCAGAGGGGTGGGATGACGCCAGCGTCCAATTCGGATGAGCAAACCGGAGTCCTTGAGGCATCAGGTTTTCCAACACCGTGGTGCCAGAGTCGCACCAAATCCCTCCGTAAAAGCCAGATGAACTGAGTATTCAGGGACCAGCCAGGTGAACTACCAGGGATGACCGCACACAAAACGATGAACGTGGCGGTGGCTCACACCACACCTGAGGTGTACATAGAAGAGGAAGCCACTGGCAATGACCAAGGCACTGGGTTCAGCGCTGTGCTTGCTTTCGATGCCTACACTGTTTCAGACATGTGAGCCACCCTCCCAGAAACAATCATATAGAAGTGGACAACCATGGACAACCTCCTGTTTGTAGAGGAAAATTGTATTCCAGGAGGCCCTTGTCACCCTACATGATTGTTGGAGGGAGGGTAACTTTCACCAAGACATGATGTTTCATCAAAGAAACAGAAGCCGAGACTGATCCAAAGCGCCAACAGAGAACCGACTCACACAAAACCTCACAATGGATTCTTAGCACCAACCAAGCATCAAGACGAATGACGAATGCCTGGCGGAATGCTGGCAGGTGCTTTCTTCGAGTCTTTGTTTCAACGTTTGGGTCCCCTTGAGAGCAAGAACTTTGCGACTCTGTGGCCCAGCAGAATTACGAGGTGTGCAAGGTTTTTGGGTGTGCGAGTGACGCAAGGCACCGCGTAACCCGTAGACCGTACGTCGTGTAGGTCGAACGGCTTGTGGGTTCAGGGCAGTCTGGGCTCCCGGGGCGCTCCAAAATAGGGAGGTGGAAGTTCCAGGTTTTGGAACGTTTTGGATGGTTTTGGTCGAGTTTCTTTGAACAGTCGGGCACATGAGCCCTGAAGAGGGCAGTCTGGGCATACAAACTTCTGTCCGATCGAACCAGATAAGCCCTTTTTCCCCTGCCAAAGTATTCTCGGCGCAAACGACTTATGGTGCACGGGCCATGAGCCCGTGGCTTGGACAGACTCACGTGCCGCCACACGGGCTTGCTGTATAGGCTATACTGTATCGGTATGTCCCATTTCAGTACTCGTCATTGAGCCAAGTGGTGGTTGATAAAGGAATTGGCCACAAACAGTAAACGATGATCACTCTCTTTGCGCGGTGGGCCGGCCCACCGGCATCCATGATCCGCCAGTCGACCGCCTCACAGATCCGACGTCTCCCTGAGGCGTTTGGAGCTGATGGAGCGTCGGCAGCAGCTGGCGTCCGGTGGCTCTGATGAAGAAGCTTTGCAGAAGAGAGAAGACTTTGTTGTTTGGTCATTCTTGGTCCATTCACAGTGACCCCCTCCTTAATCCTGTCTTGGACATGTTTTCCATGCTATTTGTTCAACATCTAATTGGGACAACCCTATGATGGCATAGAGTTACTGTATGTTACTGTTTTGCAGTGTGAAGAAGGGGTTCAAATTGCACACCAGGAAGGCTATTTGCAGATGATCAACGACCTGGACACTGCGCAGCTGAGACGAAAATCCGATGACATTGAGATGGAAGACATGGGAGTTCACTTAGATAGTGTTGTCGCGTGGTCAGTTCCGTACGCAATTTCTCGAGTGTGTCTCTCCATAGCAAGAGCCCGTACCCGAGGAGTGTCCCCTGTGGCCCCATCGAACGGGGGTTTGTCTTTTCCATTGTGTGGCCATGGTTGAGGTTGTTGTAAGTGAACATCGTGTGGGGCTGGGATTTGCACCATCAGGTGCGCGTGAAAGGCACCTTGACGTAGCCTCAAGCTGGCTGGTTGGATGTCCTCTCTTTTGAATTATGTTGAGACATCCACATGATGGCCAAAATGAAACGTGCTTCTCAATAAGTGATTTTCTGCAATATGCTGCGCACTTTGACCGTACCTCAGGCTCTTCTATTTATGTACTGGTTCAGGGTATGTTCCTCAAAGAGGAAACTCTCATCACGCGTCAAGAGGCTTCGGGGGCAAAGAGTGACGAAGTGAAATTCAATAGAGTCTGATGATGGAGACAACAAGTGACTTGCTTTAGATGAATGATTTAGAATGATCCTCCCCCAAACAGACAGCAACCCACAAGTTTTTGCACGATCATTTTCTATGGGGGACCACCCTGATTGCACAATTTTGCACTGTGCTCTAACCACACCCTAACCCCCCCAGTAGGCCCTCCATGTTTGGCAACTCGCCCACACGGACTCACCCCCTGTAGTTTTGGAAGATGTTCACCTCCAAACACACACACAAACACCACACTTTGATCCATGCTCGCAAGAGCTCTATCAGTTTGGAAGTTCCAGCGTTACTGCAATTAGACCTTTAATGCAATTATTAGACCTTGACTTGGCTCAACGGTATGAAGTGCTGGGTCGGCAAGAGCAGAATGTTTCAACGAAGCGCATTAACCCTTTAGTGAAAAGTAGGGTGAACAGCTTGGACAGCAGTTCGAACAGTTCAAAAATGCAGGTATGTTTACACTCCGGTGGGGGGTGTCTTCGTTGGCCGGAGACCCCCCACCTGGCTCCGGCCCCCTGCTGAACGGTACAAATGTTTAAGTGTGACGGAGCTCCTTGGAAACAGGTATTTCAGTACCACCATTCAGCCGAACCCAGGGGCCGAACCCACCTCAGGGGCCGAACCCACCCGTCTTGGCGCCCCGCCCGCCCCGCCCCGGTCCCCACGTGGGCGATCCACCGAGGGTCCAGCAGATCACCGAGCTCATGGACGTGGGCGCCGAGCCGCGGCAGCTCTTGGACCTGCTGGTGGAACGGGCCGCGTGGACGGAAGGGTGGAGGTCGGTCAGAGGGCGGTCGAACTGGGCGGAAAAGGATTGAAAGGGGTGTCCAAGAGAAATGGACGGAATGGATAGATGTGTTTTGCAGAGGCAGAAGGTACTAAAGGGGAATGGATTGATGGATGGAATGGTATTTTTGTTGTTCCTTTTTGATCCTTTTTCTTTGCGAAGCTCATGGTGCTCAGTCGCCTGCTTAGAATCTAGAAATCCATTTCAATCTCTGGCGGGGGTTGAAGCGATTTGGAAGCTCGCGCTTGGCCTTCCATTCACCCTGTCTCTGCCAAAAGCCTGGCTTTGGTCACAGCAAAACACGGCTGCCGAAGTGCCTTCTCCGCCATGGCGTGCACTGCATAGGTGGCCCATTGAATCGGAAAGTTGTCTTGCCATGATGTCCGCCGCTGGAAAGGGCAACTCTCCGGACCAATCATGTCAAACCTCCTGACCAATCCTGGTGCTTTGTTGTTCAACTGTGCTTGATCCTCAAGACCCGCCTCCTGTCACCGAACTCCTGCGGCAATGAGGTTCTCCATGTTTGGGATCCCCGGGGGGGCGCATCTCTTGTCAGCCAAAATGAACACCAATTGTTGCGCAGGCATAGCTCTATCCTCTCTTGTCTTGGTTTGTCTTGGAAATATGGAGATAAGGCATCTCGTCCTTTTTGAGGGTGGGAAAGAAAACGAAATGCCGATGCCCCTTCTTGCCTGGCTGCACCATCCACGTCCATTGCTCCTCTTTCTCTTTCTAAGACAAGCTTCCATTTGGTAGTTCTCCAGCTGCTACGCCTGGTGTAACGAAGCGCCTGTGGTAAAGGGAATGGATTTGCGCGTATGTAACATGATAGATCATGCTAGTATACAAACATGTACATCCGGCACCATCAAGCACGAGTCAATGAGTATGGCCAAGAACCGATGAAATCAGCTTGAGAACAAGACGGTTGGCGTAGGTGTTTCACTGCGGTCTCTTGAAGGATGGCCTGTGGCCGTCACTGTTTTGACTCTCAGGCAGATGGAAGTATGCAGGGCCGAATGATTTTGACACAGCCTGGTGGTACACAGGATGGACGTAGCTGCACTAGTTTAGTGGAATGTGGTACACAGTGCGAGCATGTTTGTCCCAGTTAGCTCATTCTTTTGCACATTCGGGGAATTGCACCGGCCGCTGACTAGCTGCCTAGCTTGGGGCTGAGGTCAGGGTTCGGCAGCGGCAGTTCCGATATCTTGAAATGACTGACAGGCGGGCCGTTGGTGCTTGGGACGTTTTTCCCCTTTTTTCATCCCTGCTCGGAGATCATAGTTGTCCCATGTTGTTCCAAATTGATTCAGATTTTCCCAGACACTCCATGTACTGTATGCCATATAATGGCATTTATGCCTACATTGACCCCCAAAACCACCCCAATGTAGGCACATATGGCGCACACAGAGTGTTTGGGTTTCTTGGGCTGGTTGTGTGCTCACCTGATGAGCTCGTTAGTGTGTTGCCTCTTCGCCACGAAGACATGCCGGGCTGCCGGGCCTGGGTTCCGGGCGCTGACCTCGTCGACATCGCTGACCCGATCGCTCCAAACCGGGGGCCAAGGAACGGAAGCCGACACCGTTCGACCCGACACCGAATGAAGCGGAAGACACCATGTAATTGAAGGATGGTGGGTACTGTTTTTCGGCCCCCCGGGGCCATTCGTTCGCTGTCTCGGATCAGAGCTCAAGCTCTGAATTCGCGTTTCGTGCTGCCTCGCTTTATGCCACTCCGACCCCCCAAGCCAAAGCTGCACACGCACGTTCCGGCAACTCGGCCGGTTCGAAGTTCCGGCAACTCGGCCGTGGGGACCTCGGAAAACCGGGTTCAGCTGCGCCCACACGCGCAGTCACTTGAAGTCCATCTTGGAGCGGCAAGGCGAATACAAGAAGGACCGCGATCGTGGGGTCGTCGGTGAACCAGTCTACCAATGACCCTTCCGTGGGTCGAGAGGTGACTGGGCGACCGAAGCCGGCAACAGAGGGGCTTTCTGCAGTGACTGGTGGATTGATTCCCCTCTAAGCCATTCTAAACCAACTAAGTGGGGTATGGTCAGTCCCCATAACATGTCTTAAATGATGTCTTACGACTCTGGTTTATCCAGCAGAGAATGGAGCAAGCGCTCCATGCCCAGTGGTCTAAAGATGTCTGGCTTGAAAACATGGTCATGGATGGCGATCCAATTTTTGTGGATGTTTCCATATACAGTATGTTCCTTTTTGCATCCTCTTAGAATCTTTTGGATCCTTTTGTTGTACCAGTTCCATCCGTTTCCCAGAAACACTTGTACGTTGTCTATTTTGTTTTGGTATCCTGTTTTCACTTGTACGTTGTTATATTGTTTGGTATCTTGTTTTCAAAGCCATACCCAGGCCCAGACCCACATTCGGCCGAAGTAAACCAGACCATGAAGATGCCCAAGCGGCTGTTTTTTTCCGAAGATGTTCGGCCCCCCCCCAATGTGTGGCCGTGCTGCACAACGTGTCAAAAGATTCAAAGCGCTTCCAGGACCTCAAGCTGCAGATGACCGAGCTGAAAGATGCTGTAGGCCTTGGAATCTAGCCAAAATACATGTTACTGGTTAGGTGGTTAGGCTACTGAGTATCAGAAAGTGGCGAAGCTAGACTTGCAGCAAGAGGGTGACTAAGGATGTAGCCTGGAGAGGCTTTGAATGAAAATCTTTGGAGCGAGCGATTCGATGCGTTGTTTGGAGGTACTGAACTGCTCACAGCAAGCCTTCAGCGGTTTTGGGTTGTGTTTTTTGGCCTTGTTCCCTTTGGGTGTCATGAAGGTGGTTGGTCAAAGTAGGTATGCTGACAGGTCTCAGAACGATGAACAGGGATTTTGCCGCAGGAGAATATCAAGCATGACTCACGGGGAGAAATTGGAGAATCTGTAGGAGGACACTTCATTCTTGTTTTTGTTGTTATATTGACCAGTTTTGTGCATAAACTGGGGGATGGATCGAAACCAGCGAAACTAATAACAAGCGATTGAATTGCTGGGCCCAGAATCATGTCGTAATTAGATATCCTCTCGAATTGCAGGCGACCAGGAATCTTGTCAGGATATGAGCATCCGACAAAACTTCCGTACATGCACTTTAGTCATGAGCCGCCGTATTTCTGAATTGGTCAACACCTTGCAAACCGATAGGGGCCAACGCTATACCGATACCCTTTCTTAATTGAAAGTAGCTTGCTGCCTGCATTCCAAAACACTTGAAACCGATAGGGGCCAACCAAAATTACTCTTGGGGACACGAAGAAGCATATATTCTCATTCAACAGCGCTACTGTTTGTGTATAATAACCCACTCGTCCCAAGCATCACGAATTGGAAACGGATGGACTTTCATCTCCATCCCCGAAAGCCGCCGATCCGATGTTCGTGGCAGATTTCTCGCTCAGCATGAAGTTGCCCCAAACGCTGCAGCAGGCAGGGCATGACCGTCAGTTACGGCAGAGACCAGTTCGCCGGGTCGCCGGGTCAAAACCTTCTGACTGCATCACCGACGCGGTCGTTCCGGGCTCGGTGGACGGGTATGTCTCGGTCCTGAGTCCCCTACTCCGCCCAGTCACATCCATGGCGGCGTTGGACATCTGGAGGTTCTGTTTTGGGTTTCGTCCAATTCTGGGGGGCCCACGAGAGGAATAGAGTTGAAGGTGCAAATCGAAGTGGCCAGATTCTGTGCAAGAGGCAAGAGGTATCAGTTGAATCGATTGAAGAAGAAGGTTGTGTTTGGCTGATCACGAGGCTTGTCTCTGGGGCTCCAACCGACTTCCTTAAGCGGAAACTGATAGTTGGATCTCTGGTTCTGGTTCCTTCCCTTGTTTAGGCACTTGGAATATAGAAAAACGACTCCCTGTGAGCCTGTAAAGATCTGGAACCCTGGCATAGCCTGGCAAGATAATCAGACCACTTTTTTCTTCCCGGTGCCCGTTGCGGCAGCCGCGGACGTCTGAGGCTTGCCATGACTTTGGAGTGACGTCTTCTTTCCAAATCATCCAGAAGAAGATGGAATTTGTGCCAACACTCATGGCCACAAAGGCTGGCACTGTGCGAAAAGATGGATCACGCAGCACAGTGTAGAGTGCAGCACCCAAACGTTGGCAGGATATGGCTGAGATTGGCTGCTCCTACATTCCAATGGCCACCTATCCTGTGGCCAAACTCAAGAAGATGAAGGCAGGGTGAGATCGAGAGACCTTGGAGGTGTCTTTCGGAAAGGTTGGAGTTTCGACATCCATGGCGCCTCCTGGGACCTCCTCGTGATAAGAACTTGGCCCATGCTGTGCACCTTGCTATTAGTAACGATGCACCTTGCTACTAGTAGCTGCGTAGCTTCTTGTTACCTCTCAAATGCTTTTTTGTTGAGAAAAGCGGCGCCTTCCCCAAGTTGACGTTCCATTCTGTTCCACTGAGGTTCTGGTGGAGGTGTGTCCTCCACACAACGCGCTGCAGAGACACTGCTGCAACATCAGTTCTTAGTGATCCACCCGTCAGCCCGGGGAGAGGTCGAAGCAAGCACGACGACGAAAACGACTGTGCCCCAGAAAAAACACGAAGAAACGTGTCCCGGACCTAGAGTGGCAGGGTTTTCTTCATTTGGGATCAATGTAAACAAGTGCATCGCTAGTAGTAACAAGTGCCTTACTAGTAGTAACAATAAGCTATTAGCATTACTTTTAAATTAATAGCAAACATTGTTACTACTAGTAAGGCACTTGTTACTACTAGCGTGGCACTTGTTCCTAATAGCTTCTTGTTACTACTATACATGTCAATATGCGTTAGATGTCCGTGGAGTGTTTGGGCGTAAGATGTCCCTGGACTTTTCGGTCACATGGGACGATGCAGACGATGCTGCATCCTCGCTGTCAGCACGCAGTCAGCGGACGCAGTCAGCAACTGCGGCACCATCAGTTTCTGGGATCCTGAAAGAGTTGCCAGACCTACAGTCACCTACTTACATTGCCCACATAGACTATGTAGACTCTTGATTACAGCTTCGACTCCCCCATTTGGTGACATTTGGTGACTCTGGGGTTTGGATGATGGGATTCGCATGAACTCATATGAATTCAAGTTGGGGTGTGTTCCCAATGCACCCATATGTATAGACCTTCAGCACTGCTTGAACCGCTGTGCCGCACATGCACACACACACACACACATGCGCGCCGCTCCGAACAGCTCGCGGGTGCCTGTCGAGCGAGCGGCCGCGGTCCGACGAGTCATCTGAGTCCAGGGGGCCGAGGGGGCCGAGGGGCCTTGGCTTTTCCACCTGATGGGCAAATCAGGATTCTGAAGATCGGAAGGTTTTGAAGACAATCCCCAGAAAACATCAACATGAGCTCGGATAGCTCGGTGGGATGGGACTTGGCCAGAGGCTGTGACAAAAAGGGCGTAAAGAAGCCGCCAACCTTTTTGGGGGAAATCACAGACTCAGTGACTTATTTGAGCTGGGACGAGGAAGATGATGGAGATCACCTTCAAGAAGCTCGATGCGCAAGCAGTGGAGATCACCGTCAGCGTCGCGCAACTCAGCAGAGATTTCGAGCAATTGGAGTACGTATTCGTCGTCGCTGATTTGTTGAGCAGCCGGACCTTGGCCACGTGCCTTTTTGTCACATGCAGGCGCGCACTTGTCTTGCTCACTTGTCTTGTTCTTGATCCGTTTGCTCCTTTTCTCTTGCGACATCATGGGACTAGGCAAGGCAGCAACAAGAATGTCATCAAGAAGATTACTTTGGAGCCTGCCAAGTTGCATCTTGACTTAAAACATATTGTTCTTCACCTGGAAGCTTCGAGTATTTGCTCGAAGTACATAAGCACAGGTGCATGTTCAGGAAACGACCCAGAACTCTACAAAGCTTTCTCATCACAATCTTGTTTTGACCAAGAACTGATCCCTCTAATTATTTCAAGAGCTTTCAAGGCATCGCCTTCGTCCTTTTCAGAACCAAACTATCAGGTTTGGCCAGCGCAAATTCGTCACTAAAAAGGTCACAAAGGGGGATCGGCCACATCCCGAAGGAAGAGGTTTCTGCCAGCCCAGCCTGGCCCCGCCCTCGTTCCGAGAACCGAACGGCAGGAAACAACTTCGAGCTGCAAAGAATGATGCCTGGTGCTCAGTGAAAGACCTACAGATTCAACGTCATTTGGATTTCTTCTGTTTGGTTGTACCATGTTGTACCATGTTGTTCAAAATCATACAGAATGCACTCATGGATGCTCTCTTCCAGGCATAACTTGACCTCCTTTCTTCCGGTCGCGCACTTCTCCGGCTTCTCCGGCACGTCTCGAGATGAACACGTCAGGAGATTGCAGAGTTTGGCATCCCCGGCGAAGCGCCCTTCATGACTTGCAATGCCTCCAACTTTGTGAGTCTCGGAGCTCGGATTCGACAGATCATTCTTCACATCAAAAGCACTGCCTTCTTTGCAGGCCTTTGCAGGCAGTTTCGTCCCGTTTTCTTTCGTGGCTTTTCGGTGCACCCAAGCAACGGTCACTGACAATGTCACTTCCGGTTTCATGGCATTCCATGGGATTGGCACCATGACGCCTGTGGCCGCCTGAGTTTTCACCGTCACAGCAGGTCCATCCACCCAAAAATGAGATGTGACGGTACCGCCGAACTGTTCGGGGGTTCAGACGTTCAAGTCAGAGGTGAGAATCGGAATCTGTTTTGCGGATGAGGTCTCTTGACAAAGATCGAGAAGGGGAAGTCCTGAACCTTTGTACAAATCAAGTTTCACCTAGTTTACGATGGCTTTTCTATGCAAAATGAATTACATCAACTTATATTCAAATATACAAAATTACTTAACATATTTGGGGAATTAATTACTAACAAATATTGGGGAATTAATCGAAAACCCTGGGTAAGTAATTTTAATAAAACAACCTTTTAGATATTATTAAAACTATCCGCAAAAGATTCGCGAATTTTTATTTTTTTCTCGCGATGGATTTATCGAAGATTATTACTTTTATATATTTTCCTTTTTACCGGATTGATAAAGAATAGAAATATAATGTAATCGTCCGGTAGAACTTGTGGGCGGAAGTATTTCTATATATCATAAACTAACGAATTGAAGCCTTAATATTTTCGTGCTTTGTCCTGGTAGTGCGTAAAGGATTCGCCGATTTTTGTGCTTATTGTTATTGATTAGTAATTTGAATAGGCATAATTTTGATAGTGAGGTAACGATTTGTAGTTTCTCTGACGGGTTGTATAGATGTTTGATGATGTTTGCAAATGTTACTGGAGAAAGCCCCAATGAAATTTCGCGAAAGATCCGCGAAAATTTCGCGAATGTTCCGCTATGTTCTAGGTTCTTAGTTTGAAATCCCCTAACGTTTCCCAAGCTGTATTATCTTGTGTCGGTAGTTGGCACGAGGATTGGGTTGAATTGTATTTGATTTTATTTGGTGTAATTGTCGTATAGATGTTGTAAGTGACCCTAAATAGTTGTGGAAACGTTCAATTTTTTATTGGGGTCATATTGTAAGATGTTTGTCCGTATTTTGTCTCTAATATTAAATATGTTCTACCTTATATTAGTTAGATATGTGTAGGTTGGACCATGCTTCGCGATCAGGTCGCAAAAGATACACGAAAGATATCTTATTTTACGCGAAGAATGGCTATTCTAGGAAAATCTTAATTATATAATTATTAAATGGAAAATAATATATTTATATATATTAAAAAATATATTTATAATAATTATTTATTTACATATAATATTTATTAAATTTATGATATATTATATTTAATATTTAAAATTATATATATATATTTATATTATATATTTAGAAATTATTAATATTATAAAATAAATCTATTATATAATATATATTATTGAATATAATATATTATTATCATTAAAATTAAAAGATATATTATATAGTAATGATATAAAATAATATTTATATATATTATATATTTATATATGTAATATATATATATTTTTTTAAAGGAATTTATTGAATTATTATGAATATTATTTTATTCTTATTTTAATTATTAGCTTTTTATATATTTCTAATTTCTAATTAATAGAAATCTTTTAAATGATATAGGAAGGACACAAGAATTGATTTAAACAAATTGAATATTGGATGATAAAATTATTAAGATATGAATTATTTTTTAAATATTAATAGATTTGTAATTTTTTATTTATTTGTATTTTTTTTCTGGCTATGTATTCTTTTATTTGATTTATTTTATATATATTTTTATTATTTCTTAATTTATTGTTTATTTGTATTATTATGAAGATATTTAATATTAATCTGATATTGTATTATTTATTATAATTTATTGATGATTCGTTGCTAAATGAAGATATAAAAAGATATATCTAATCTTAAACATTTATGTATCTTTATATTTTTTGAATAGGATTTTCTAAATGTTGTATATAAAAAAAAATCTATTTTCGAATAGAACTTAATAAATATATATTTTTATATAAAAAATAATATATTATTTATATATTATTAAAATAAACATCTATATATTTGTTTATATATTATTATAAATATTATGGAATGGGATGCGATCGAATAAAAATACGTGGATTTTTGAAGTAAAATCTTCGAACTATTCGGATTATTTCCTACATTTTCGCCATTTCATTTTTAGTCTTGGTTCCTTCATAATTGGTCTACGGTTTCCGTCGCGGTCCGGACCCCCGCCCAAATAATTTAATTATTTTATATATTTCGATTTTTAATTTCAAGAAATAATCCAATTATTTCATATATTTTGCTTTCGTCTTGGGGCATGTACCACTAAGCAATTCTGCTACATTCCGACGCCATCGGTCGCGGGTTCGAATCCCGCATGGTCCACCACAGATAACCTTAATTCATTTCGAATTTCTTCGCAGCGACCGTCCTTGGGTCCTCATTTCTCACTTCGTTCCTATGTGTTCATCGAGCACTTCTTGGACGCGTGCGCCAGCGCTTTCCACTGTAACGTTCGGACGCGTACGCGAGGGATGAAGGCCTTACCATAATACTCTGTGTTCAATAGCTATATGCCTGAGCGCGTCGCAAATTCAATACTTATATTTGATGCTTTGACAGAGTGCATTTGTGTGGAATACTGCATTGATAAAGCTTCATTTTGTTTGATGCTTTGAAAGATTTTGCATTTGTTTGGCAACATTGCATTGATCTATTTTCGCCCTGCATCTTTTGACATACAAACGCGGATGTGCATTATTCATTCTGGCTTGTTGTCATTGCGCCGATCATTTGTTCCATGTTCTGAATGACCTTCTGCTCGAGTTGTCTTTTGCAGCTTCAAAAAAAGGGCTTGGCATTGTTGGCAAATGCGAGACAGCTGCGTGCAAATTAGCATTATCATTATCAGATTATACGGTGCTTGTTGCAAGCATCATGGACATCGCACAATATTGTGTATAAATTGGAGACAGCTTCTTGCACAGAAACATTATGAAAAGAAAAAAATCTATGCAAATACGAATTGGATTTTCTCAAAATTGATGGCGCCCTAACCAGCTCGATTTTCAATTCTTTGCCATTGCAGTCCTGCTCCTGCAGCCATTTTGCCACTTGCGTGTGGCCCGGCAGAGGGGCAGCTGCTTCCGGGGATCACAATCTTGAAGTCATAAATAACCG